CAGCATGTGCATCTATGTACATTTTAGCACATACCATCTATGTGTTATTTCAGCATGATGCATCTATGTACCATTTTAGCACATACATCTATGTGTTATTTCAGCATATGCATCTATGTACCATTTTAGGACATACATATATGTGTTTTTTCAGCATGTGCATCTATGTACAATTTTAGCACACACCATCTGTGTGTTATTTCAGCATGTGCATCTATGTACCATTTTAGCACATACATCTATGTGTTATTTCAGCATATGCATCTATGTACCATTTTAGGACATACATATATGTGTTTTTTCAGCATGTACATCTGTGTACAATTTTAGCACATACCTCTATGTGTTATTTCAGCATGTGCATCTATGTACCATTTTAGCACATACATCTATGTGTTATTTCAGCATATGCATCTATGTACCATTTTAGGACATACATATATGTGTTTTTTCAAGCATGTGCATCTATGTACAATTTTAGCACATACCTCTGTGTGTTATTTCAGCATGTGCATCTATGTACCATTTTAGCACATACATCTATGTGTTATTTCAGCATATGCATCTATGTACCATTTTAGGACATACATATATGTGTTTTTTCAGCATGTACATCTGTGTACAATTTTAGCACATACCTCTATGTGTTATTTCAGCATGTGCATCTATGTGCCATTTTAGCACACACATCCATGTGTTATTTCAGCATGTGCATCTATGTACCATTTTAGCACATACATCTATGTGTTTTTCAGCATGTGCATCTATGTACCATTTTAGCACATACATATATGTATTATTTCACCATGTGCATCTATGTGTTATTTTAAAATGTTCATCCCCAGGGGAATACATAATTGTTATGACATGGAAGTGTTTGCCCCTAGAGGGTGTCACTTATAAGGATGTTATGATGAAACATGGGAAATCACTTACTTTGTGAATAATCCTCTGGTTGCATTGATTTCATCCAAATTAGCACATCTCAAATCATTCTGACATCCACACATAATAATTGGTGTGCGGGGGCAGAAACGCCTAATCTCTGGCAACCACACAGTCTTGATATGTCGTAGTGTAGGTGGTTTTGCAATAGAGAAACAAACAAGCACAACATCACATCTGAAAGATGGCATATATAGAGTCACTTGTAGAGGTTACACACATTTTAATAGGTTTGGCAGCAATGACCAATTCATACACACACATAAACAAATAGATATTAATTAGATATCAAGGGATACCTCCAGAGGAAAGAAAGTGCCAACTTTGTAATAATGAGGCTATTGGCAATGAAATGCATGCACTTTTAGACTGTAACCATACTGGAATATCAAATGCTCGTACTGAATTTCTGAATACAGTTAGCAATCATGAAGAGCATATCTTTACACTATCAAAACAACAAATGTTTGCAGAAATTTTAAGCTTGAGAGATGGGTTCATTTTAAATAGTGCTAGTAAATTTATTGACAGCATATTATTTTATTATAAGTAATTTTACTTAGACTTCAGTCTTTTATGTATATTTTTTTTTGTTTCACGTGTGTACTTATGTTTTATTATATTTAATGTCTTTTAACCACAGATAATGTACCTAAATATATTATTTGAAGTCAAATAACATATACTACACTATACATGTAATACTATACTATTTAAAGTTACAGGATCTTTGTATAGATTATCACATTGTGTGATTGGTTAAAACTCAGTCACATGACATGAAATAACAAGCCATGGACATCACAGTCCCTGTTAGTTATCAAATTTAAGATATAGAGTTTTGTTCATACTAATAGAGTTTGAACACAAGTGAGCCATCTTGGATTGAATCAGTAAACCACTGCATGTGCACATGTCCCAGATAAAGTACTAGGCACATGCAAAGAATGAACAGATTTGGTCAATAGGGTTCTGAAATACGACTCTGGATGAACGAACATACGGACGCGGAGATCGAATTATAAGTATGTGATGTCAAACTGTATGATATATTTTTCTGTCCATCTTGTATTATCTCTCCATAATGTGGAGATAAGTATATTATGTATGCGATAATGGCTTATATTTTTATATTTTTCAAAATAAAATCAATTTACCATATAATTTAGAATGAAAACTAAGATAAAATGTACACAAATATATTCATACTGTAATCAGCTCTAATTTTATAAGAGGGAAATTTTCACAAGTCAAGAAAAATTGCTGATTTTGTGAAGGGAATACATTATTGAGATTTTAAACAAGCAGCCTGTCGGCTGAGATAGCTCCGCTGTTAGCAATGCACATGGCAATTAAAGAAC